CAGGTAGTAGAAGACCAGCTCGCTGAGCTGGGGGAGGAGCTCGCGGCTGAGGACGTAGTGCGCCTGCGCGCGGTGCTCCCGGTGGCAGGGCAGCCGGCCCGGCGCCGGCTCCAGGCGCACGTAGCTGTTGCTCAGGGAGAACACGGGGCGGGCCGTGTGCTGCGCGTCGGCGTGCTCCTCGCTCAGCCAGTGGTAGCCGCCGTAGCAGGGGCGGTGGTCCTGGTGCTTCACCTAGGGTGGAGGGAGACGCGCACGTGTCTATAGATGACACACATACACATGGGGTAGATGATGTCTGCCATCCGTCACCTAGACACACATGATCATTTATAGATATATATCATCCATCATCTATACACACATATCATCTATCAGATTATATATCATATACTATATAACTCCTATACCATAGATCATATACGATATAATACATTATACATTTTATAGAATAGATATTTATATATTATATATGTTACTGTTTACTATGCATTTTACAGTATATAGCGTATGTATTATATATGCTGTACAATTGTATATAATAGATAATGTAAAATAGATAATGTAATTTATGAATATGTAATAAAATGATAGATAGTATATATGATCTGATATCATATACTATATAAATGATAGAATAATATAATAAATGTATACCGTATATAGTGTAGTATATATACTATGCTAATATAATAAGTATATACAATATATGGTATGTAATATATAATGTATACTGTATGACATAATGATATGTCACCTGCCATTATATAATACAATATACCATTATACATTATGTACATAATATGGTATATTATATTTAATATATAATATGGAATATCTTATATAACATAGCATATATATCATAGACTAGATGATATATATAATTATTCATTACATTTACAGATTATATATGTTATATTTCTTTACAGATTGTAAGATTTCAAAGCAGGCCTGTGATCTCCCTGTTACCCCTCTACTGGTAGCTAGGCTTTGTAGTAGCAAAGGAGAAGACCCCCGATTAGGTCTGTCTGTATCAATCGCAGGTATGATTTGCCTCTTCACTGTACACTGTCCTAGGCTGGGAATTTGTGCATCTGAAGAACATAAAAGCAGGCCTTCATTGGCTCAGTAGTTTGCTCTAAAGTTCTTTGGCTGCTTTACCTGTGTAGATAAAGACACTGAAATCACCCTGAAAGAGTAATTAATGTATAGAAATTGAGAAGCATGCTTTAGAAAAGAGTGCTCTCCGCACCTCCCTCCCTCTTCTCTCTTTCTCTCTCTCTCTCCCTCTCCCCCCGCCCCATCCTGTATTGGGGTTTGAACTCTGGGCCTGGGCACTGTCTGAGGTTTTCACTCAAGGCTGGTGCTCGAGCGCTTGAGCCACACCTCCACTTCCACCATGGTTTTTTTGCTGGTTAATTGGAGATAAGAGTCTGACAAACTTTACTGTTCAGGCTAGCTTTCAATGGTGATGCTCTCATTTGGCTTTTTGCTCAAGGCTGGTGCTCTACCATTTGAGCCAGAGTTCCACTTCTGGCTTTTTGCTGGTTTAAGTAGAGATGAGACTCTCCCAGACTTTTCTTCCGGGGCTGGCTTCGAACCATGATCCTCCCATCTCAGCCTCCTGAGTAGCTAGGATAACAGGAAAGAGCCACTAGCACCCAGCTGATACAGGATTTTAATCACAACAATGAATTACTTCCTTTTTATAAATGTAGTAGACCACAAATTGGTTCTAATTTCTATTTTCTTCTCTATATGAAGCTCAACACAAGTTGTAAATTTCATATCTTTCAGAGTGCAACTTGGGTAAGAAATCTTCAAGCCCATTTCTTTCCAAACTTGGGGTAACAGTAAGAGAATTTCCCATAATTCTCCTGGTGCCAGTGAAGAACAGTAAGGGAATTTCCCATCATGCCCGTGTGTGGATGGAGAGCTTACTGTTACAGTGAGGGAATTTCCCATCATGCTCGTGGTGTCAATGGAGAGCTTGTTACAGTGAGGGAATTTCCCGTCATGCTCGTGGTGTTGATGGAGAGCTTACCGACACAGTGAGGGAATTTCCCATCATGCCCGTGGTATTGATGGAGAGCTTGTTACAGTGAGGGAATTTCCCGTCATGCTCGTGGTGTTGATGGAGAGCTTACCGACACAGTGAGGGAATTTCCCATCATGCCCGTGTGTTGATGGAAAGCTTGTTACAGTGAGGGAATTTCCCATCATGCTCGTGGTGTGGATGGAGAGCTTACCGTTACAGTGAGGGAATTTCCCATCATGCTCGTGTGTTGATGGAGAGCTTGTTACAGTGAGGGAATTTCCCATCATGCCCGTGTGTGGATGGAGAGCTTACCATTACAGTGAGGGAATTTCCCATCATGCTCGTGGTGTCGATGGAGAGCTTACCGATACAGTGAGGGAATTTCCCATCATGCTCGTGGTATTGATGGAGAGCTTGTTACAGTGAAGGAATTTCCCATCATGCCCGTGTGTTGATGGAAAGCTTGTTACAGTGAGGGAATTTCCCATCATGCCCGTGTGTGGATGGAGAGCTTACTGTTACAGTGAGGGAATTTCCCATCATGCTCGTGTGTTGATGGAGAGCTTGTTACAGTGAGGGAATTTCCCGTCATGCTCGTGGTGTTGATGGAGAGCTTACCGACACAGTGAGGGAATTTCCCATCATGCCCGTGGTATTGATGGAGAGCTTGTTACAGTGAGGGAATTTCCCGTCATGCTCGTGGTGTTGATGGAGAGCTTACCGACACAGTGAGGGAATTTCCCATCATGCCCGTGTGTTGATGGAAAGCTTGTTACAGTGAGGGAATTTCCCATCATGCTCGTGGTGTTGATGGAGAGCTTACTGTTACAGTGAGGGAATTTCCCGTCATGCTCGTGGTGTTGATGGAGAGCTTGTTACAGTGAGGGAATTTCCCGTCATGCTCGTGGTATTGATGGAGAGCTTGTTACAGTGAGGGAATTTCCCGTCATGCTCGTGGTGTTGATGGAGAGCTTACCGATACAGTGAGGGACTTTCCCGTCATGCCCGTGGTGTTGATGGAGAACTGAACCAGGCCCTGCTCGTCCGTGGTGGCGTTGGACTGGTGCTTGGCTTCATTCGCTGTGATGAAGACGATCTTGTTGGGCATCGGGACCCCTTTGCCGTCCGTTAAGCGCACCTGCAGGTTCAAGGCCACGGGTCAGTCCCAGAAACACTAGCTGGCCGGCCCCAAACTCCTTCATTCCTTCACCCCTCCATCAGACGCCTCCAAAGCGCCAGGCTCTGGAGATGCAGCAGTGAGCATCGATCAGCACTCAGCTCGGTGCTGAGACCCTAGATAGAAAGCACACAGATCCTTGCATCATAAATCCCAGGAAGAAAGGCCAGCAGTTCATTCAAGATGATCGGAGCCACACCTTCTGGACATTTTGGGGACACTGTGGGTGAAAGATCACCCTTGGAAAAATATGGCCCCACAGAGTAACACAGTCATGGAGGATGTTAACCCATGAACCCAATGTATTTGATCCTCAAACACTGATTTTCTTTTTTAGGGGGGGAGTTGGTAGTTGGGCTTGAACCTCCTTTCTTGCTTAGCTTTTCCTGCTCAGAGCTGGGTGCTCTACAACTTGAGCTACACCTCGACTTCTGGCTTTTTGCTAGTCAATCAGAAATAAAAGAGCCTATTAGATGTGTCTTTCTTTTTTTTTTTAATAATGATTTCATACTAACGATAAGCCCCATGTTCAACTCTCTACAATTTTCTTTCTTTTTTTTAATTTTTATTTTATTTATTTATTTTTGCTTATGTGGTGCTGAGGAATCGAACCCAGGGCCTCAGGCATGCAAGGCAAGCGCTCTACCACTGAGCCACCTTCCCCCCCCCCCCCCCCGTTAGATGTTTCTGCCCAGGCTGGCTTCGAACTGGGATCCTCATATCTGAGCCTCCTGGGAAGCTAGGATGAAAGGTATGAGCCATGGGTGCCCAGCAAACTAGCTTTATTTTAAATTGACATTGTGGATTGTATATATTTGTACAGTAATGATCAGATGTAATGATCAGATATTGGCAATTGATGTATCTATCACTGGTGACATAAGTCATTTCTTTTCTCCTTGCTTTCTTCCTCTTTTTTTTTTTTTTGGTCCTAGTGGTTTGTACCCAGAGCCTGGGTGCTGTCCCTGAACTTTTGTGCTCAAGGCTGGTGCTTTACCACTTGAGCCACAAGCTCCACTTCTGACTTTTATTAGTTAATTGGAGATAAGAGTCTTAGGGACTTTCCTGATTGGGCTGGTTCTCACATGATTCTCAGATCTCAGCCTCCTGAGTAGCTGGGATTACAGGCGTTTTCTGAGAATATACCAATCACGGTAAAAGATTTGTTTTAGTAGATCGGTGAGAACATTTTGAGATCTGGGAACTTCTAAATAGTATTTGTCTCTGTGGTTACTGTTTTTCTTTTACTGTATACTTATTGAGCGGGGGCTGCTGGCTCACATCTGTAATCCGAGCTACTCAGAAGGCTGAGATCTGAGGATCAAGGTTCGAAGCTAGCCAGGGCAGACAATTCTATGAAACTCTCATCTCCAGTTAACCAGCAAAAAGCCACAAATGGAGGTGTGGCTCAAGTGGTAGAGTGCCAGCTTTGAGCAAAAAAGCTAACTAAGAGCGTAAGGCCTTGAGTTTAAGTCCCAATAATGGCAGTTTAAAAAACCCCAAACACACACATATATAGTTATTATAGGAAAGTATTATACACATAAGGTTTATGGAAGAAATCTTAGGGCAACAGTGTATTTAATAGTTTAAAGCATGGAACCATTTCCTATACAAATGTAAAATGACCCGATCTATTATTATGTGACTTTCGACTTTTGGATCTATGAACCGACACTGGATGGGACCCCAGGCCTCTGTGATCGGACCTGCCCAGACCCTGTGCGTCACGTGACTTGCTAACCGCACACCTGCGCGAAGAAGGGGATCCCGGGTCTGAAGTGTGAGTCCACTCTGACAAAGGAGACTTTGGTGATGGTTCTTGTGATTGAGCTCGATGCTTTGCCCTTTAATTCCACGCCTGAAAACAACAAAGAAATAGGCCATTTAAAAAACAGATTCACTTGAACTATGTGGATACTATATATTACTTATGTGTACTTATTGTTACTGGAGACGCAGTTAATGCAATTTGTTATTACATTCTTTTTGTACATACTGTATACTATCATAAAATATTATACAATCATTATAGATTATATAATATATATTATATAAACATATTTATATAGAATTATACATTATATTTTTATAATTACAAAGTATTACATATGATATAATGTATATTTTATAACATATTTTACAATTAATGTAATTATTTAATTATTATACACTTGTATATTTTATATATAACATATATACAAATATATTCTATATAAATATATAATTTATATAATATACACATATATAACTATGTTGCTTGTAATATAATTATATACATTGTATATTACACATATATTACTATGTAATATGACATATTACATATATTACACATTTATGTGTAATATAATTATATACATTATATATTATATTATACATAATATGCTATATTACATATAGCTATGATACATTAATTATACAATACATTTATTATATGTGAATATGTACTTGAGATATTTAATTATGTAATATATATATTTTATTATATATAAAATATATGTAAATATTAGAATATATATGATTATATGGAATTATGTATTATTATAGTTATATAATGATTATATATAGTCATATAGTTATAATATAGCTAAATGATATTAGAGTTATATATTATGTTTTTATATGTAGTTATATATATTGTTATGTTATATTTAACTATTATAGTCATATCTTATTTATAACATTTTAAACATTATGTAATTATTCTATAGTGTTGAATTATATATAATTATTTTGTACTATATAAAATATAGTATAAGCTGAATCATATATACATATACTGTCTGTTTATTATAATGTATGATAGTGATATATTATATATTATGTATATTTTTTATGCTAGTACTGGGGCTTGAACTTAGGTCCTTGTATTCTTTTTTTTTTTGGGTCCGGTCATGGGGTCTGAACTCTGGGCCTGGGTGCTGTCCCTCAGCTCTTCAGCTCAAGGCTAGCGCTCCACCACTTGAGCCACAGTGCCACTTCCGGCTTTTTTCTTACGTGGTGCTGAGGAATCGAACCCAGGGCCTCAAGCATGCAAGGCAAGCGCTCTACCACTGAGCCACCTTCCCAGCCCCGTCCTTGCATTCTTGCTTGGCCATTCTTGCTCAAGGCTGCCATTCTACCCTTCAGCCACAGCTTCACTTCCAGCTTTTGGCTGGTTCCTGGGAGGTAAGTGTCTCATGGATTCTTCCTGTCTAGGCTGGCTTTGAACTAGGATTCTCAGCCTGCGAGCAGCTGGGATGATACGCCAGAGCCCCCGGTATCTGCAGTGGCGTTGTTACCTGGACTGAGCACCCACCGTCTTAATCTCCCGTACCCACGTGGCCCTCAGACCTGTGCCTTCTTCTTGGATCTTGGCCTCGGCTTCCAGTCTCATTTCGTACTCCTGTCTCCTCAGCTGGAAGCCTTTGGTTTTCACCAGCTGGGTGAAGCAGCCGTTGCTGTTTAGCTTTAGAAGAGAGAAAAATGCAATACCAAACCATAATGCATGCTAGATGGTCACGCTGGGCAGGTCAGTCAGTCTGGGAGGATTTCTTTGGACAAATAATGCTAGCCCTTCCCCTCTCCCTCCCATCCCTCTCCTCTCCTCCCTCTCTCCTTCTTCCCTTTCTCTCCCGCTCTCTCTCCCCTCTTCCCCCACCTCCTTAGGGCCCAGATTCTATTCTTGAGCCTTTTTGCTCAAGACTGGCACTCTACCACCTGAGCCACAGCTCCACTTCTGGCTATTTTGGCTGCTTAATTGGACACAAGAGTCTCACAGACTTGGCTGCCTGGGCTGGCTTTGAACCCTGATCCTTAGATCTCAGCTAGGATTACAGGGGTGAACCACTGGTGTCCAGCAATGTAAGCATTTTCTGGGACGAGGCACTGCATTTGGTGGAGGTGCTAATTATCCACCATGACTTGTGTATACAATGAGGATGTTTTATCATATGATAATAATAGAAGTAACTTGTGTATCATGGGCAGGAATTGCCTTGCTAGCTGAAGTTTCCTAGATAGAATGATACCAAAAAAAATGCATTAGAAGTTTGAGGGTTAACCTTTATCTAGACAGGCAGCTACTGCTCCCCTAATTTTGGGTCTCCTCCAAGTGGACAGGTGTGGTTGTGAACCAGCCAATGTGTAGCAGACAGGCAGTTAGAGCAATGTGACAGGCTCCAACTCAAAGAAAGTGGGAAGACATTTTCCTATGAAGTTGATATGTATATGTATATGTGTATGTATATGTGTATGTGTATGTATATATGTATATGTTGGGGGCTGGGAAGGTGGCTTAGTGGTAGAGCGCTCGCCTAGCATGCACAAAGCCCTGGTTCAACTCCTCAGTACCACGTACACAGAAAAAGCTGGAAGTGACACTGTGTCTCAAGTGGTAGAGCGCCAGCCTTGAGCCAAAGAAGCTCAGGGACAGCGCCCAGGCCCTGAGTTCAAGCCCAGGACTGGCAAAAAACAATAAAACTACAAACATGTATGTCTTTTTTTCATAAAAGGAGAAACCACAGGAAGCACTGGATGGTTCGATCTCTGTCAGCGTCTACCACAGTTCTTTTGAGCCAGGACAAAGAAATAAAGAATTACTATTGTGCTCAGTCATTGATGGTACATATATATAATATATATATGTGTAGATATAGATTATAATAGTACATATCTATGTATATGTGTATATATTATATAGGTTATAACAGACAGCACTGGGTTCTCTGTGGAATATTTGCCCTTGGTTCCACGAGGTAGAGCCCTGTTGGGTCACTGTCCCTTCCTTCATTTTTAATGCTATTCTGCTGTGATGACTCAGGCGTTGCACATGGGTTATCTTTCCCGAGTCTGGGAGTGGGGGTCCCCTCTGTTCTGGGCGGTGTCCCCCTTCTGTCCCGCTCACCTGATGACTGAATGTCTCGCAGAAGGCTTCCGACTCCCTGCCATGGCACGAGGAAGGCTCCACGTACTCCCTGCAGACCTGCAGCGTCCCGAGGCCAGGGACCGGCTTGCCGAAGGTGTACCTGCAGGGAGGGGGAGGAGTCATCACAGGGACTTCCCTTCCTTCCCTCCCTTTCTTCCTTCCCTCCTTCCCACCTTTCTTTCTTCCTTCCTTCCCTCCCTCCGTCCTTCCTTCCTTCCTTCCTTCCTTCCTTCCTTCCTTCCCTCTCTCCTTTTCCTTCCTTTCCTCCCTCTTTCCCTCCCTCTTTCCCTTCCTCTTTCCATCCTTCCCTCCCTACTTCCATCCTTTTCCTTCCTTTCCTCCCTCTTTCCCTCCCTCCCTTCCTTTCCTTCTTTCCTTCCTTCCTTCTTTCCTTCCTTCCTTCCTTCCTTCCCTTTCCTTCTTTCCTTCCTTCCTTCCTTTCTTCCTTCCTTCCTTTCTCCCTCCCTCCTTTTCCTTCCTTTCCTCCCTCTTTATCTCCCTCTTTCCCTCCCTCCCTCTCTCTTTCCCTCCCTCTTTCCTTCTCTCTCCCTCCCTCCCTTCCTTCCTCCCTCCATCATTTTCCTTCCTTTCCTCCCTCTTTCCCTCCCTCTTTCCTTCCTTCCCTCCCTCTCTCCCTCCCTCCCTTCCTCCTTCCCCCCTTCTTTCCTCCCTCCCTCCCTGCCTTCCTTCCTTCCCTCCCTCCCTCCTTCCTTCCCTCCCTCCTTCCCTCTCTCCTTCCTTCCT